CCAGCAGCTACGGTGTTTACTTCGTTGACCTATCGTCCCAATTATCCAATTGCATCAGACTCTAAATTCGCTCATAGAACTTTAAATTACAACAGGTTATGCGCTCCAGGTGACACGCTATCACTGCGCGAGTCGAAATAGCGAATCTGTGAAAAGTGTGAGTGAACAAACTATCGGTTAAATCAGTGCAAGTGAAGTGCTAAGTGATTTGTGCTCAAGATGGCTGCCACCAGGCGAAACGCACAATTAAGGCAAGACAGTGAAAATCAACAGCCAAAAAGGAACATTAATGTCTCGGGTATTGAGAAACTGAAGGGACCTGAAAATTGGAAAGCCTGGAAGTTTCTCGTGAAGATTTATCTCAGGCAGGGCGAGATGCAACAATGCTTGGAAGCATTGCCGCCACAAAACGTGCGCGACCAACCCCAGGCAGAAGAAATGATCGACGACCGGGATGCTCACAGCATAATAGTGACCACGCTGGACCCAGCCGTACTCGTCCACGTCCTGGACACCAATTACGCCAAGGAGGCATGGGACGCCCTCGTCTCAGTGTATGAGGACAAGGGCGTCCACCGCCGAATAAATCTGGTGTATGAGCTTTTCGAGATCAAGCACCACAGCTTCTCTTCTCTCCGCGAGTATGTCATGGCGGTGAAGGAAGCTGTCTCCTCCATCGCCGTGACCGGGAAGCCGATCGAAGATGAGATGGCCGCGATTCTGCTGCTGCGGAATTTGCGACCAGAGATGCGCCAGCTCCGCCAGCTCATCGAAAGGACGGCTGCCGTGGTGTTGCCGGGCGAGGAGGAGCCGACGCTCCAATTCGCCACCGTGGTGGATGAACTCCTAAAGGAGGCTCGGGTTGAGGAGACAGACGCCGCCAAAAAGGGACACCACAAGGTGTTCAAATTCACCGGTTCTTCCCGCCAAGATGGAGGACACAACATGGCGGCCTCCAGAGGGCGACACCAGTCACGAGGACGCGGCGGCCGTGGTGGCTTCGTGAAGAAGGCGGAGGCCGGCCATCAATATCAAAACAAGCAACAGCAGACGACGCAGACACAATGCTACATCTGTGAGAAGACAAACCACCCAACCAGCAGATGCTTCAAAGGACCATTTCCACAGTGTCCACATTGTCAGCGGACAAATCATGATCAGAAGGACTGCCATTTCAAGAAGGACAGTGAAAGTGTTAATCAACCAAAAAGGTTTAAAATATCTGATAGTGACAATGGTCCCAAAGGGCCCCGCAGCTGGGTTGTGAAGAAGACTGTGGCAAACATGGCCAAAGCTGGCTGTAGTAGTACTAGTAATAATATTGTTGTGCAGGATAATGGAAATAAAGATTATGAAATGTATATTGATAGTGCTTGTTCTAAAACCATGACAGGTGACCTGCGCAGTTTGCAAAACTTCTGTGAAATTAATAGGGAACCTGTTATGTGTGCTGCCGGGCAAACACTTTACACCAAAGGAAAAGGTGACATAAAATTAATTGCTAATAATGATATTGGGCTTGAAGAAATCAGTAGTGTGACATATGTGCCTGGGTTAACCTCCAACTTACTTTCAGTGGCTAGTATATCTAAATCTGGTCTGGTAACAGTTTTTCGAAACAACACTTGTGAGATTTTTGAATCCAAAAATATTCATACCCTTGGTGCACCTCTTCTCAAAACGGAGGAGGTAAATGGCACGTACATTTTTAAATTTAAAATTGAACAAGCCAAGACTAACTTCATTTTTCAAACCAGAAGCACATTAAACTCAGAAAATTTAGAGCTATGGCATCACAGACTGGCACACATTAATGAAGATTATATTAAGCAAATGATAAACAATGATCTTGTAGATGGTATTTCTGAAAAACAGGAATCAAAAAATTGTGACACTTGTGACAAATCAAAACAGGTCAGAGCCTCCTTCCGAAGTAAAGGTGCTAGGAGGGCTGATGACATCATTAAAATTATCCATTCAGACGTATGTCAAGTAACTGATGGTCCCTCCTGGAATAATTACAAATATTTTGTTACATTTATAGATGATTGTACAAGGTACACGATGGTAGCAATGTTAAAATCAAAAGACGAAGTACTTGAAAAATTCATTGATTTCAAAAACATGGTGGAAAATTTTACAGAAAAGAATGTAAAGATACTCAGATCAGACAATGGAGGTGAATATTGTAGCAATGAGTTTAAAGACTATCTGAGAAGGGAAGGGATCATCAGACAGTTTTCTTGTCCAGAAACACCCGAGCAAAACGGAGTGGCTGAGAGGGCAAATAGAATACTGATGGAAAAGGTAAGGGCACTCCTAAAAATGGCAGGCCTACCAAATAGATATTGGACAGAAGCCTTGTCCCTGGCTGTGTACATAAAAAATGTTACACCCACAAGGGCATTAGAAGGCATGGTCCCTCAACATGCGTGGACAGGGGAAAAACCATCCATTGACCAACTCAGGGTTTTTGGTTGCCTCGCAAATGCGCATGTATCAGGAAATGGAAAGCTGGGAGATAGAAGTAAAAATTGCATATTTGTTGGTTTAGATGATGAGAGAAAGGGCTTTAAACTACTGGACATGGAATCTAGAAAAATATTCACAACTGCCAGTGTCAAATTCTATGAAAATATCTTCCCAGCTAAAGAAAACCAACCAATTACAACACCTGAAAAACAGGAGAACTCTAAAAATGAAGTTCAACCAATAAAAGAAAAACAAACTGAACCGACAGAGACAGCTGTCCAACCAGAATCTTTCTGGAATGCACATACATCCACAAATTTGCCCAGGGAAACAGACCCAGCGGCACAAATCTTTGCAACAGAAAAAGAGTCGGGAAATCCTGACATTGCAACAGTCAGTAGGGAAATGGGAAAGAGGAAAAGGAAACCCAAAGAGTTCCCAGGTTTCGTTGCATATGGTATAGGTGAAGTGAATGAAGAAACTGATCTTCACACTGAACCATCAACCTTTTTCATTCCTAAAGATTTCAATGAGGCAATGAACTGCACAGAAAGTGATCATTGGCTCGAGGCAATGATAGATGAAATAGGCTCATTCGAGAAAAACTCAGTATGGGAACTGGTGCCTCTACCCACTGGAGCCAAAGTTGTTGGCAACAGATGGGTCTACCGCAGAAAAACGGATAAGGATGGCAATACAATATACAGAGCTAGGTTAGTTGCAAAAGGATACACCCAAGTTCATGGAATAGACTATCATGAGACCTTTGCACCTGTGATCAGGAGGAGTGTTTTGAGGATGTTATTCTCAGTGGCAGTAAATTTCAATCTAAAAATAGATCATTTGGATGTAAAAACAGCTTTCTTGTATGGTGATTTGTCAGAGGATGTTTTCATGTGCCAACCTGAGGGTTTCTCTGTAGAAGGCTCAGAAAGCCATGTATGTCAACTTAAAAAGGCAATGTACGGCTTAAAACAGGCCGCTCGAAGCTGGTATCAAAAGGCAGATAAGGTCTTGAAGAAACTGAAATTCAAGAACTTCCCTGATGAACCGTGTGTTTATATTAAGAGTACAAAGACTAGTGTAATCATGGTAGCTCTATATGTGGATGATTTCTTTGTAATTTATAACTTAACAAAAGACAAGAATGAATTGTTAACTGCATTGCAGCTAGAATTCGAAATTAAGGACCTGGGAGAAGCCCAGAATTGTCTTGGAATGAAGATTGAAAGGGACTGGAATGCAGGCACCCTGAAACTTCACCAAGAAAACTATATAGAATCAATACTTGCTGAATATGGAATGGCAGATTGTCATGTAAAATATACACCAATGGATGGAAGGCCTGTGTTTCCAAAGACTGGAAATTTAAAAGACGAAAAAGTCTCGTCAGACGATACTGTTGCAAAGAAAGGAAAAAGAAAGAAGGCTGCAAGTGAAAGAACTGATCAGCAAATCCCTGCTAAACTGCGGAAAGGAAAGGTTGGAGAAAGGGAAAACCCCTTACCATACCGAGAGCTAATTGGGTGCCTTCTATACTTGAGTACGAACACAAGACCAGATATAGCCTACACAGTGAGCTATCTGAGTCAGTTTAACTCAAATTACACTGAAGTGCACTACGCATTGGCCATGAGAGTCCTGAGATACCTCAAACATACAAAAAGCATGGGACTGACATACCACAGGAGTCAAAATCCAACATTCTGCATAACAGGGTATGCTGATGCTGACTTTGCAGGAGACGAAACAGACTACAAATCTCACAGTGGTTATCTGTTTACCTTGGACGGAAACTTGATCACATGGGAAAGCAAAAAGCAGGGATTAATAGCGTTGTCGTCAACAGAGTCAGAATATATCTCAGTGACTGAGGCTACAAGAGAAGCACTATATCTTAATGAACTAATTGAAGAAATGTTCAATTGTGGAGAGCAGACTGTGACCATTTTTAATGATAATCAGAGTGCTTTGGAAACAGCGTACTCACAAAACTTCAGTACCAGGACCAAGCATTTTGGAGTACGAAAACAGTATGTAAGGGACTGTGTGCAACGTGGAAGTATTGAGCTTCAATACATGCCTTCCAGGCTCATGCCTGCTGATGTGTTAACAAAACCTTTAGTTAGAATACTGCATGAAGACTGTTGTAAATATTTAAAAATGTCTTCGGATTGAGGAGGAGTGTTGAAATAATTAACAATATTTAATTATTAGTCAATCCTACCACTATTTTTAAATTTGTCCCTCCATGTTCACCGCCCTATATCTATGTAAAT